TATTATTATTATTATTATTATTATTATTATTATTATTATTATTATTATTATTATTGTTCACTCTGGGGTAAAAGGAAGAAGGTATAGACCCCATTACCCAGATCGTTTAGGTAACCCTGATGGTTTTACTGCACAGTGCTGACGTTTTTTTATGCAATTATGTCCTTTAGGTCATATAATTAAGCCGCTCTGCCCTGGTTCAGCCTATTCAGCTGTATATGATACAGATAGACGGCTAATGAAATATGCATCAAATTAATACTAGTGCAGTGAGACATAATTACAGCTGCAGCTGGAAGCATATCTAGGTGTGCGGCTCTGTTGCGCGAGCCTTTGCAAGTCTGTACATTCTTATCTGTCCACTCTGAATCCCAGCTAGTGAACTGCGGGCCCCTGGAGAAGACTAAGAACCAGCCTGTTTATTAACTTGTATTAGGCACCAAGAAGAAGCTACAGCCAAACTGGTCACTAACAGGTTTCTGGTACAATTCAAAGTACTGGTTTTAACTTTAAAGCATTCTCCCACTGGCATCAGTCTGTCCAATATCTTACGCCAAGAGAAACTCTTGGTGTCTCCTCGCTTCGGTAAAATAAGGGGGACTGAGACCAGGAGGCTTCTCCACTATGGCCCAGATATTGTAGATCAATCTGCTCCATTCGGGATCACATTCTGGAAGTTGGTAAAGACCAAGCTCTTTCATCGAACTTTCAGGGACTGAGAAGATGCTGCTGCCTATTGTATTATGATGCTCTGGTTTTTATTTATGGTTTTAATTATTATTAGTATTATTGCAGATGTTTTAATTTAATTACTTAATTATTAATTTATTGTGGATGTTTTATTGTATTGTTCTGCTGCTAACCACCAGGAGTTGTTCTGAAATATGGCAGCATATAAGATTGAGAAAGCAAGCAAGGAAGAAAAATATTGCCTTGCTTACTTGGACAGTGGGGGAAGACTGTAGTTGATAGTTGCAGAGGAGTGCCAAATATTGCCAAAAAAATAGCAAAACTATTTGCTAATGGGTTTCTCAGCATTTAGCTGCAGCTCTCTTTGGAGTGCAAATGCTCCATAGTCACAGGCCTCCATTATAATAAATAGGTGCCAATGAATGCCAGATTTGCAGCCTCTGAACAAATTCACTTGGCTCTCTCTTGGTACAGCTGAAGTATAAATCAAACTAGATAAAGATAATGATATTTGCAGAGCTGTCAACTGCGTTTGATGACTCCAAGTATTGGGGCACCGTGGCTGCTTGAACAGGAATAGGGAACATGACCAATCATAAGCTTCTGGAGAACTTTTCTCCATATGAAGGTCGTTAGGGAACAATAAGCATCAGGAAGATGATGACAATCTCTAAAATGTGAACGTATTTTGAGACTTGATCACAGAAACTTTGCAAGATATCAGCTACAGAAAGCAAAGTTTGCAGAGAACTAAAGGGATGGGCTGGGGCTGGAGCTGGACACAGCAATGGAGAAAAATATGTAGTCAGGAGAATAAATCTAGAGTTGGTGAACTGCAAGCAGCATCTGAGTTAAGAAGCTGGAACAGGGATGTCGGGAGACATATGGAGCAAGAAGGTGGCAGCCTGTGAATAGAATGAGTGGGCAGAAAGTCAGAGATACTTGGAAGCACTTGGTAAAAAAGCAAAGTCCCAAACTGACTCAGGAAGGCGTATAGCAAAATGAAGTCTGAAGGAATAAAGGGGATGTCTGGAGGGGAACAGGAGGCACTTGGGAGAATAATATAGCCACTTCATTTTTTCTACTCTTCAGCATTGGATGGTTCACTATAAAGTGGAACCATTGCACGAAGCGCAGCTGGTTGTGGCCCAAACGGTCCTTTGAAAACTCACCAGGTTTGTCAGGAGAAACACTGGACGAATACATTCTCCAATAATTTCTCACAGGCGGAGTTCCCTCTAAGTGGAGATCATAGCTCCACTACTAAAACCAAAACCATGGCAAACGTTCCCCCATGATGTCTTTCCCCGGGGTTTAGTTAAACTGAATGACAGAGCAGAGGGCCTTTCCCTATTTGTACTGAACCTTGGCATCAGCATGCCCTGGCAACATTTTTTTCCATGTTGCTATTATCTCATCCCCGTGCTGGAGAAGACTCTTGACAGTCCCCTGGACTGCTAGGAGGTCAAACCAGTCAATCTTAAAGGAAATCAACCCTGATTGGTCATTGGAAGG